TTCCATCGTGGTCATCCGAATATTTCATTTCCGCAGTATTCGGCGTACTTTTAGTGTTAGCTCCCAGAAGGGTAGGCATATCCACTTTTGTGAATATTTCTACGTCCTTACTGTTATTTCGTAGTCCCCGTTCTGCTGTCAGCTTTTCACGGCCTGTATGTTTCTTTGTATTACTTCGCCTGAGCAGCCTTTTCCGAAGCATATCCTAGTAAATTTGTCCAATTCTTCATCCCAGAATTCAATATCCAATAAACGTAGGCTTCTGAAAATCATCCTCATCAGTATTCCAATCTTTCGCTTGTAGTCTTGATGGGACTGAAAATTGAGTATTATCCCGGCATATAACTTCTTCAATAGTCTACCATGTCCAATATTCAACGTTTAGATATATGATAACTAATATAAGAGAGGAATTTGGACAAGGTACGCCCAGCTAAGCCGCCCTGACAACAAAACCATGTTGCACAAACGAGATCAAACTATAGTAATACATCGTAAGAAGACTGCACCCAAAGAAGGGGCTACAAATTCTTAATCTTCATTCCTTAATTCCAATTTGTGTAGCTTTTGAGACTATCTCCGATCGAAACGTTTACGAAACGAAGGAAAAAATTATAATTTATTGTAATTGTCCTCTATAGACGTATAAATATAATTGTCATAAAGTTAGGCACCGGATGGACCTTGTTTGCGTGTTTAAAGAATTGCATTTTGATGTCAAGAATAGTGAGGTTCATTGGTCAGTGGAAAGTTTTGGTAGTGTACCTGGGCTAAGGATTTATGCTAACATTGATCTAAGTATTATAGCCAAGGAATCCGCATAAGATATATTCGTTGAGATCGAACTGAAAACACGATGAAATTTCTAAAACGAAGTTTAACCACATTTATGCAGCTAATGGAGATAATCACAATATAGCTCAAAAATCTTGATCTTCCTTGCTTGCTGATGAATCAGGTCTCAAGCGTAATAATCATGTGCCTTCTTATACACACAAAGTCAACAGTTTGGCAAACACAAGACCGAAATTATGCTATAAAAGAAGTTAGAGAATTAGCTAACTATCCTCAGTTTCCAGCTTTATTGTTACTTGGAGATGCTCTTTATCTCATTTAAATCTCTCATAGAGTAATAATAATCTTTAGATACTTGAGTGTGTTTAAAAGTAAGGACAATACTCTCCAAATAGAACTGAAAAATTCGAAATACCCAGCATTTCAAAAGAGGCACAACAAAAAATTTTTTAAATAAAAGCTTAATTATTTCAAAGATATCTCCTTATAAACCTTGGTTCACTAAATTCTGTAATACATTATATTTTATTTCTTATCCTAGATACAAGTTTAGACAAAGCAAACTTAGATAAATCAGCTCGGTAAAGTCAGTGTGCTAACTGGTGGGTAAGTCCAAGAGTAGCTTATATTTCTTTTAAATATCAAACTATTTTTAGGTCTCATATACTGTATTATAACGTGCATATCGCCATTATTCTTCGGGGATGGCTATCCTAGCAAAGTGATACAAATAAACATACGGGCCGTGAAAAGCCGATGGTAGAACGATGACTATGAATGAACAGTTAGGACAATGAAGGATTGACAAAATTGGATATACCTACCTTCCTGCGAACTAACTTAAAAAGTACGGCCAATATTGAGTAAATGGAATATTCAGGTGGCCATGAAAGAGGAATCAATACTTTTCACAAGTCTACCGGTGCAACATGAAAGGGTAGATAAATTGGATTGTTCAGGAGTAATGCATTTGGCGCCAGCGAACAAAAATAGCATTGGCGAAATAGGAAGAAAGATTAGCATAGGAATCAAGGAACATCATATGCTATGCAAGAAAATGGATACCGAAAGATCAGAACCAGTAGGACTAATCGCACAGACTGGACACGAGATCAATTGGAAGGCAACAGAAAGAAGGGCCATATACAGTGGCAACACAAGGAAGCGGAAGATTAGGGAGGCCATTGGCATCCTTGGGAAAAAAAATCTAAAGAACAGGAGATTGAATAAAGTTAGAGTTAGCAATAACTTTGCCTACTGGTTAAGCAAACTCGAGGAAAACAAGAATAGACCAAGAAACGCCTGGATCAAGGATCTA